TCTGAAACCAAATGTTTATTAGAGAGTAGGTTGTTTGTCTCTAAGTGGAGGATAATGGATTGGTTAATAATTGATTCCATGACTTTACAGGTGATGCAGCATAAGGAGATTGGTCTGTAATTTTCAACTAGGCTGGGGTCTCCCTTTTGAAGATGGGGATGACTGTGGCTTGTGACCATAGATTTGGCAAGGAGCTGGTCCTGAAAGATTTTTGAAAGATTATGCTTAGAGGTTCTGCTATGGCAGTGGATAGCTTTTTTAAGAAATAGGGACATATTCCGTCCGGTCCAATAGATAGAGATGGTTTTAGATTGTGTGGTGCTTTTTCAACATTGTCTTCTGTAAAATCGATATGTATTAGATCATTTAGTTGTCTGTGGTTCGACTAAGAAATACTGGGCATGATCCATTGCTGTTTACAAATACTGAGCCAAAGAATGTGTTAAAGAGGTTGGCTTTAAAGGTGTTATCATTGCAGTCTTTACCATTAGGTCCTTTCAGGGGTGGGCTGGACATTGAGTCTTTGTTGTTTACAAAACTATAGAAAGTGCGGGTGGAATTGGTGCATAGGTTTTCCTCTTGTTTAATGTGATAATTGGTGCATTCAGTCTTTACTTGGTGGCATAAATTTTTGTATTGGCTTTTGAAGTTGGCAACCTGACCAGATTTGTTTTTCCACCAAAGTGATTTCTTTTTGGATTGAAGTTTCCTTATTGTTATGGGTAATTTGTTTTTTCTGGTTTTGGGAGTTGTTATTGGTACATATAGTTTGATGACTCTTTTGACTTCAAATAAAAATATGTTGTAATGGTCTTCAACAATATTGCATCCAGTAAATATAGAAGTTGCCAATCAAGAGATGAGAGATCGTTGTCTATAAGATCATAGTTGCCTTTTTTGAAGTTATAATTGGGGATCCCGTCGTCATGATGATTTTTGTGTGGACGTATGTTGAGACAAAAGTCAATCATGTTGTGGTCACTGTTGGAAAAAGGTTCTTTAATTTGTATTCCGTAAATTGAATTCAAACTATTGCAGAAGATGAGATCGAGACAGCTGTTAAGTCTAGTATTGTTGGTTTTTAGTTGTTCCAGTCCCAGTTTTGTTACAGCATTGTAGAAGGTTTCATGTATTGGTTCAGTTTTACATTCATTTAGAGTCCACTTAATATGAGGCAGACTGAGGTCACCAAGAAAAGATAAAAGCGTGTGGGCAGGAAGTTGCCCATGTTGGTAGTGAATTCAACTTCGATGTTATAATCAGGGACTCTGTAAGAATCGAAATGTGATATTTAAGGACAGTTCACAGACGCTGGTCTCAGGAAGAGCAAGCTACTGTGTAACTTGGATGTTTTTTAGATGTAGGGACTTTTTATAGAAGATAGCAACACCACCTCCTCGACGGATTTCACGATCTGATCGGTAAACATGATAGTCTCTTACTGTGGTAATGGAGTCAGGGAGAGATGCGTTGAGCCATGTTTCACAGAAAAATATGATGTCGAATTTAGCTGTATTTAGTAAGAGGAGAAATTCAGGTATTTTGTTTACAAGGCTTCTTGCATTGAGTAGCTTGCATTTAAAGCCAGTTGTAGTTGGAATAGAGGTAGGTACATACTTAAATATAATGCAAGTAACAGATTCAGTATATAAAGATTGCATTAAAAAAATCTGAAAAGCTACTGGAAAAGATAAAAGACATTGTAAAAACCCAACATTTCTAACTGATCCAAATGACTTTCATCATAATGATAGCCAAGGCAAAGCAAAGTATGAAAAGCCTTAAGCAGCAACAAGGATGCACAATTGAACACAGACTTTAAATGTCAAGCAAGCAAGGACAAGATATTGCAGACAAGACGTCAATGAATTCATAAAAACAAAAAGAAATTGAAAATGAGATATTTTTAAAAGATCAGAGAAATGATAAGAAACTTCACAGCAAAGGTAGAACTCTTCAGAAGTAATTGTGAAACAGATCTAGAAGAGGCAAATGAAATTTAAGGAAGATAGAAATATTGTATTTGAAATCTTTTACAACTGAGATTATAGAATGATAGAAACATCTATAGGTAGAGAAAATATTCAGGAACCAAGTTCATTAGAAATTAAAATGTAACAATCAATAGACCGACTGTTAATTAAAAAAAACCACAGATGCAAATGAAAAGTTGAACAATTTAAAGCTGCAAGAGCCAGTTAAAGTACCAATAGTTCCATGTTAAGAAATATAGAACAAGATACTATATATTAAACAAATTTTGTTCTCTCATGCAAACAAACTTGCTTAGAATATGACAAAGAGGAATAGAATCACACATGGAGAAAAGATAACAGATTAACTGATATGGTTCAGAAAGGGTAGAAAAATGTAAGATTAGATGTTTTCATATAATATTAATTTTAAGGAAATTTGTTTTTGGTTTATTGACCAAAGCAAAGATTATGGTAGACAATTAGAATGTATTACATCTAACAGATGTTGCAGAACATCTGATTCTTCTTCAGAGTAATCTTTACAATGATCAAGAAATTATCCTAACTTATTTTTATTAATGCTTTTATTATTATTTTTTAACAGAAAGTTGCCCAGAGTCACTGAGGAAAGATGGGTGGTGTAGAAATGTGATTAATTAATAGATAGATAAATAAATTGTAAGAACTGAATTTGAAACAGAACTTTAAAGAAAGGAATGAGACAAATCTACATATTATCTTCATGTTGTTTAAGTTGTATATTAAACATGTTGTTAAGAATTTCAGGCCTGGAATACAGGAAGTTTCTGACTTACACCAATTGGAATTGAATTCCAGTTGTAAGTCATTGCAGTCAAGGGTTGAGTGAAGTTGAGGAGACTGGAGCTGGGTTGTTGTTTTTTTGATAATTTGTTACAGCAGTTACTAAGTGAATTGTGTGATCATAAGTCTGAATCATGTGATTGTTAAGTGAAATGCAATCATTAAGCCAATCCATTTCCCAAATGGGAATTTTTTAAAATGGAAACTGGCAAAAACATCACAAATTGCTGTTACATGACTGCAGATGCTGAAACTGGTAATAAATTGCAAGCTGGTTGTCAAATACCTGAAATGGGGTTATGTGACTACATGGTGCCTAGCACATTTTATGACAACCAGAAGTGCATTATGGGTCACAAAGCACCCTTGTTGACTGAGTCGTAACTTCAAATGGTTGTTAAATGACTGGCCATACATAAAAAACTACCTGTAGTTTGGAGATATTTCATTACCATAAACACTTTGAAAATTGCAGATAATAAAATTTTGTAAAATTTGTACACTAATGTAAAAAATAGAGAGTAAAATTATGAAGATTCTGGTCTGTCCTAATTGTATCTGTTAACTGAGTAATACTACAAGTAAGCTACAAAGAGAAGGAAAAAAGGAACCACAGACCATTTTGACTACACATTTGTAAATATGAAAACTCTTCTTGAAATATAAAACATTCAGGAAAACTGATATCTTGAAGCAACTTTGGAAGGAAACCAAATTAGTTATTTTTCCATTACCAACAAGTCCTTCCAGCTTCAAATAAAAATCAATATAAAACACAAAACTTATCCCAAAACTATGAAAAAATATTTATTTGAAATATTAACTTCTTTTAAATATTCGTACATTTACTTCATTCCTAAATTGAAGGCTATTATCTGAGTTGGCAGCACTTCATAATGAAAATTACAGCTTTATTAATCTAGTATTGTTTTAAATGATACTAAAACAAAATATAAATATATAGGAAAAGAAAAACAAATTCAGTTTTGTGAAACAATATTCTAAGCCAAGAATAGGAAATATGCTAGAGCTACTTTACAATTTATTATATATACAGCAATTGTGTTTATTGAAGGAAGACCCAAAGTTAAAGAAGCATTTCTGAACCATAAGGATCTGCAATTGGCTGCCAGTTCTTGATTTATCTATTTTCTTCATGCTTTTCATGTTTATAGCTACTAAAGTCTAAATACCATGGTGTTGTGCGATACAATAGATAGCTTTTACTTGCCTCCAGGCCTACAGTGACCCACACATCTGAGAGAAGGTGGAAAGTTGCTTCATTAAAAAAAAGGAGAATGTCATAGGCTGGAAGTATTAAAGTAAGGAAAAAATGGAAACATTTTTGTAGCCCTATTTTCACAGCTGAAATTTTCTGGCTCTAAATTTCCAATACTTGCTTAATTCTGCTGCAATGAAGAAACTGCTTGCTATTTTGCTACTGCATGAGAAATTGACATTTTCCCTCTCTTAAATAACTCACAATATACTTTCTCTCACACATATTTAATACTTTTGAAGGAATCATCAATGCTTATTTTTCCATACCTAATAGAAAGTATTACCTGTGTTTGCATGTGATCTTTTTGTTTCCATAGGTAAAATGCAATTATTAAAAATATCACCAATATCAGCTCTTTATACAAGAATGATTTGTGGTATGCAATGGGAAGAGCGATAAGTAATGCTTAGTATCTCTCTAAACACTAGTCACCATAAAATCTTCCAGATTTAAATTAATTTCTTGGAGTTTAATAGAAAAGGAAGTTAGCAAAGTTAACTACTACTGGTAAGTGCTATAAATTCAACGCTATGCATATAGTTACTTCATTCTGAATAACCTTATCAGCAATTGGGTAGGAATACATGTTGATAGCTACAGATGCAAGAACACTGTAGATACTATGGAAGAGCAGGGAGCGTCGCTCTCATTAGGCAATTCTGATAGCAGAGGAATTAACAATATCATATCACACTGGGTAAATTCATGCTATTACATTTTTGCAAATTGCTCCAGAATGTAAGTAACATTTGACAAGGTTCAGGGGCAGAACTATTATCAAAGTTCTGAGTTAGAGTTCTTCTAGAGTTTTCCATTCTATCATTAGTAGTACTAAAACAAAAACCTGGAGAAATTCTGGTACTAATTTTATAAACACAGGTATTTTCCAAACTGTTCACGAAACTGGCATTTGTACTGACCTGAGGTCTGGAAGTCTATCTGGATAGGATTGGAGAAACCATCAACTGCCTTCCTCCATCTGCCGCCACCCCCTGGTGACCATGCAGTCACCTCACAGCGATATAGCCCGGCATCAGAAATCTGAGTCTGGTACATCCTATAGCGGAACTCATTTTCTTGGATTTTTTCCAAGACTACACCATCTACCCGGTCCTGGTCTGTCCAGTCTTCCCGTCTAACTACCGAATCTTGATTGAGAGAAATGATACGAGTAGTGCCGTTTGATCTCGTCCGATCACTAAGAGACTTCATTGCTGTAATGAGGACTGAATAACGAGGAGTCTTGATGTTCTGGGATGACACCTTGCAGGTCATTTCAAATGTATGCCCTGCCATGAAGAATGGTTTCAGCTTCACAGCCTCTACAGTTAGTGTGTAATCTGAGAAGAAGAAAGGAAGCACATAAGCAGCAAGAAAATGGTGCATAAATGTTACACAGTAAGCAAGAGATTATGCTGTTAATATCCTATAGACTATTTTAATTTTTTTTAAACAATGAAGGGCTGCACCATAGTTAGTTAGATGTAGACATACAAAGCATCACAGGATAGTGTGCATCTTTGCAGTTTCCCTGCACTCAATGGTGCTTATTACCAAACATATACAAAGCTTTAGTGCAAATTAACAGCAGGTTTTGACAATGCATGAAAACAAGAGCAGTAGGAAAGCATACAGAATAATTACATACTGATAATTTCAACATGTTCTTGAGTGAAGTCCTAACTGAGTTTTAGTAAGAAATTTAGAGCTTTGGTTGAAAAAAATTGTACAAATGAACACATGAACAGCATCAGAAAAATGAATTTTTCTGAACTGGTAATGCTTCGTATTATAATTGGATTAGGGAATAATCTGTCAAATATGAGAATAACTCATGACATGATTACTCATCCATAAAGTGTATCTCAAAATAATACAACATTGTAAATTTAGAATTTCTCATCTTTGCAATTTTATTTTAAAATGTCTTTTATTTGAATGGCTTTTACATTCCTAACAGAACATAAAACATAGAATAATAAAATAATATGAGCTGGAGGGGACCTACAAGATCTTTTAGTCCAACCCCTTGCTCAAGTAGGAGACTCTATACCAGGGTTGTCAAACTTAAGGCCTGTGGGCCAGATCCAGCCCATGGGGTGCTTAGATCTGGCTTGTGGGACCACCCTTGAAATAGTGAAGGACCGGCCTGCAGTGCCTCTGCCAGTGGAAATGGAACTCAGGAGGACTGCATGCAGGCCTCCCGAGCTCCATTTTAGGCTATGATGGCCTCCTGCAACCCTCTGCTAGCAAAAACAGAACTCGAGAGGGGTGCATGCGCGGTTTCCACTGGTAGAACGCTCGGGCCACCTGTGGTTCACCAGCTGCAGGTGCGGATAGCTGAGATCTTGGAGAGCGAGGACTCGGATGAGGGGCCTGCGTGTGATGCAGGGATGGAGCCAGGACTGTCAGAGTGGAGTGTTGCATTTAGAGCTTGTGGAGCTGGCAGCAATGATGAAGAGGACCCCAAGGAGCCTGTGCCCAGTGCGTATGAACGCAGGGCTGCTCGAAGGAAAGCATAGCCACAGCAGGATGGACGACTTGGGAGTAAGGCTGCAAGGTGATGGTCCCTCCCTTAAGGGATAAAAGTCAGCTCTCAGAGGTGGGATTCTTTGCAGGAAGCAAAGAAGTTCTTGCACTTCAAGTCTTGTGGAAGTTTGGACTATCCTGGTTTGTGTTTGGTGACTTTTGGTTTTGAATATTTCCTTGTAATTTACTCTAGTGTTCTTGGCAGCTTTGCACAACCTTGGCAAGGTTTGTTCTTATCTGGGACAATTAGTTTTAATAGTGTTCTACTGTGAATGAACGGAATTCACAGAGAAGCATTAAAAAGGTTTTGCTTTTATCTCTGTTTGGTGTTTGTTTGCTTTGAACGATGCTTGGGTCAGAACACCACCACAGGTGCCTCTGATATGAATGTTTGTTTTTTTGTAACAAGTTTTTATTTTATTTTATAACATACAAAAATTCCAATTTCAATAGAACAGTGTGTTGTCCGGGGACAAATCATTTTAGGAAATAATAACACAGTATTTACAACAATATTCATTACATCAATATCAATTATATTAATGTTAATAATCATAATAATCATACTATTTGTTTAACCAAATTAACGTATCTTCAGTATTTTCAAGTAATGATGTTCTTTAATTTTCTCCCATGCTAATAATAATGCATTCCTAACATGGAAGTGCCCGTTTTCAGCCTCCCGGGGCTCCACAGGCTTCCCTCGAGCTTCAGGAGGTCAAAAACGGCCTCCCAGATGCTCTAGAGACCCTCCGGAGGCTGAAAATGGGCAGTTCCAGTATTTCTGGAAGGCCCGTTTTTCGGCTTCCCGAGGTTGTAGAGGCTTTCCTCAAGCCTCTGGGAGGGCGAAAACGGCCTCAAACGGGCCAAAAATCAGTTGGGAGGCAAGCGCATGCATAGTGCAGGTAAAGGGGCGGAGTGGGGGTGTTGCACACACATGCACAGGAGGGGCGGGCGCATTGCATTGTGGGTGCAGGCACGCACACATGCTTTCGGCACACCACAACAAAAACGTTTGCCATCACTGTCCTATGAGGTTAATTTGTTACTGCAGTTAGCCTAAATAAGCCTTGGTGATTGCATATATGGAAATTAAGTTCTATCAGACTAGCACATTTTAGAAGACACCAAAAACAGACCTAACCATCTAACAAGTTATAAATAATCATCTTTTCAATTGCATGGATCAAACTTAAGCTTATACAAATATTAATCATGATTTAAGTTCTACATGCATGATTCTAGATATAATAATAAATGTTATATAAAAGCTAAGGATTATTTACTGCAAGTCATCAATACGCACAAATTATCATATAGATCATAACACTGTAGCCAGATAAACACAGTGGCATACTGTGTTTCTCCAACAATACTCCCCCCCAATAGGAAAACCCAGCATGTTTTCTAGGCATAAGGCGAAATTAAGCCCCTCCACCCAAATTTAGGCCTAGTTTAAAACATGCAAAATTGGGGGGGCGGGGGGGAACTTGCCATTAGGAGCACCCCGTGGGCAGCCATGCCTTGCCACCAGCCGCTCCTAATGGCCGATCATGGTGGAGCGCAGAGAGATCCCTACCCCCGCCACGTGCCTTTGCTGCAGATCCAGGTATGGTGCTGGGCGCAGGCTGGGTGGGCGGGCGGCGGCGTGGATGTCAGCCTCGGTGGCAGTGGGGCACTTTGCATCGCGCCTGCCGCTGTTGCTTCCTCCACCGCTGTTACTTTCCCTTCTGCCCGTGTTTGGAGTGTTGCACATTCCTCCACCGGCAGTGTTTCAGCTGCTTCTGGGGCAGGGAAGCCATAGCTTCCACGGTTCCCACCGGTGCTGGCGCCTCTCTCACCAGCACTGTCTCCAACAAGAGCAGTGGTGAGACAGACCCTGCTGCTGACGAGAACCGCCTGCCCTCCCATGGGGCATCGCTTTGATTGACGGTAGCTGCATCGACAAGGTCCTGCAAGTCGATGAGTCTTTTGGGGTTGGGTAGGTGGAAGTGGCAGAGGGAGGGTGATGCGATCGTTTCTCTCCCCCCCCCACGCCTCGCTTTGCTTCCCTCCCCAGAATTTCGGGTCATGTTCTCATCCCTTGTACAGTCGGGCGCTCTCCTCTTGCTCCAGCTGCCTGAAACCCCCCATGGACCTTTCCCCCCTCTTTAAGTTTTCTCTACTCTCATTCCCTCGGTCAGTCACCTAAGAATACAGAATGGCCGGGCAGCTTCCTCCCCACCCCTCCCAGTAGTTTTAAAAAGGGAACCATCTATCCACTTTGCCTTTCGAGCAGAGGCAAACCTTCCAATCCAAACAGAAGAGAAAGAGAATCATCCTACAGACTCTTAGCAGCAAGCTTCCCAGAGGATTCTCCCAAAGGATCCACCCCAGAGGATTCACCCCCTTAAATGCACTCCCCTCCTTTGGGGTGAATCCTCTGATGAATTCTCCTTTGGTGTGGATCCTTTGGAAGAAGAGATCCCTTGAAGTGCAAAACCATTTGAACCAATAATTCCAAATCTATGTTCTTCTGGTCCTTGACATATGATGCCAGTAATTTTTGTTTAATCAAATTTCTACGCCAAACATCTACCTAAATGACATATGATGTGCAATGATAATACAGTTATGTTTTACCTTACAGACTTTCAGTTTCTCACATTTGAACAAAAGGAATACTTTTTCACAATTGAAAGCTTAATAACAAGCAGAGTTAAGCCATGTTCTGATGTAACAATAAAAGGAAGCTAAATTTTTTTCAAAAAATAAAATAAAATTCCAGGATTATCATAGAACCCTAAAAATATAATATTGTAGGAAGCTGCTTTTTTCCTGTAATAATCTTTTCAGGTTGATCTTGATAAATCTTGATAAATCTTATATAGCTTCATTCTCTTTCACTTCATGTGACAAGTTTCTTAATAGCTATACACCACTGGGAAAATTTTGTAGTGTAAGACAATATTTATATTAAAATAACCTTCTTTTAGAATATAAATGTGTATTCTATAAAAAAAATATCATATGCATAATTGCATCACCAATCATATATGCATAATTCTCCTCCACAAATCAGAAAATTGATACAAATCTCAGTTATCATAAAGTAACAATCAGACTGAACTAAATATCTGCATTTGTAAGCAAATGGATATAACTGAATTTTCTTGTTTGAACTTAGAGGTTTTATCCAAATTTAATTTCACCTTAATTAATTAAAAAGTACTTTACCAATATTGAGCATATATACTATGTTTTCCTGAAAATAAGACCTACTCCCAAAATAAGACCTAGCCTGGTTTATAAATGTGTGCCTAATAGTGAAGACCATCATAAGCCCGGGGGTAGACGTGGCCAGCACCAGAGGGAGCAGAGGGACCAATTGTGTCCACCAGCAGCCACAGTTTGCTTAGGTGAGTTGATTACCTGTCCAAATAGCAGGTGGAAGCAGACAAAAGGGGAAGACAGGTGATCCGGACACGTAGTGTGAGCTGCAGGAAAGCCAAGAGTTGGTGGGCTGAAGCAGGCAGCCGACCACGGGAGTCTCGTCTTTGCATGGTGACACTGTCAGCAGGCAGAGGCAGAGGTGCAGGGAAGAAGGCAGGCAATTGTGGGGTTGTGAGCAGGCCACAGCCAAGCCAAGGTATGTGAAGGTGATCCTCTCACAGCCACCTGCCCACTTCGTCCCACCATCTCTCAGCTTGCAGGCAACTTGCACGTGGCACATCTGGATTGCATGCCTCCCATTCATGCCTCTGCTGCTTGGACGGATAATCAACTCACTTGCACTGCGTGGGCTGCACAGCTCCAGAGTGCACCGACCCAG